TTATAAGTAAGTATACAGGTGTCCCTGAAGTCGACGATCAAATGGCACCTGGTGATCGGCAAGGTTCAAACAGTTACCAAAAAATATTAAAAAAATTCCAAGTCACATAGTTTTTAATTTAGGTACTGTTGATTTAGTGGTTGTAGGTATGCAAACATATAACATCACGCCTTTTATCCTCGAAGGGGTAGGCAGAGGTGCACGTTATACGACTGTACAATGTAACACCCATTTTTCACTATTTATGTTATGAGTCCCATGTAATAGGGGGTGAGCCTATTGCCATATACCGGGCACATTTCCAGACTCCGTGCTACTACTGAGAATTTTTTTAAAAGCCCAGTAATACTTTGCTCGACCCGGGAATCGAACCCGAGACCCCTTGCCCGGCAGCCGCACTTGCGACCATTCGGCCAACGAGGCAGTCTATAATAATCGGTGAATGAAAGTCTGAGCACTGTCCTTACTATATATTATGTTGGAGGTTTCTCCTTCTCGAGATTGACCCGGTGAAAATGGGCACCGCGTCCCGCGACCCGCAGGAAAAACGATGCTCATAGCCCCCTTCTAAAGATTTCTAAATCTCCTTCTTCCTCTTCTGCTACTGACACTATCTGTGTGTGGTTCTGAATTTTGTGTGGGTGTAGTTTGTATGCCAGTTGTGGATAGTGAGCTTTGTGTGATGGTTGATTGAGTGGTATGTGGCGTGTGCGCTTGAGATGGTTGTAATTCATCGGAATCTGGAATGTTTGTGACGAAAACTGTGTCTCCTAATACTTTGTTAAGAATGGTTGTTGTGTGAATGGCAGCTTGCTTCTGTAGAATTGTAATGTCTATTGATGTTTCTAGTTTATCTGTGTATCTGCTGAGGCTTTTAGCTACTACTCCTGTGGCTCCAATTACTATGGGAATAACATGTGTTTCAGTATTCCAAAGGCGTCTAATCTCTGTCTTTAAAAGGTGGTATTTACTCAACTTCTCTATTTCTTTTGCTCCTATGTTGTAGTCACTTGGTACGGTTATGTCAATGAGGTATGTGGTGTTGGATGTTTTGTTTGTGTAAATTATGTCCGGTCTATTGTGGGCAACTGTGACGTCTGTCTGAATTGGGATTTCCCACATTATTTTGCCTGTTTCATTTTCAACTACTTTGGGTTGGGTGAGAGTCTCTTTCCACCAAAGTTTGTCAACGTCCATGCTATGCTTACGAGCTAGACACCAGTAGACATACTGGACAAGATTATTATGCCGTTTGACATATTAGGTTCCTGCCAATTTTTCGCAGCCAGATATTATACCTCTATGCTGCGCAGTTTCATTCTTGACAGTCGGCACTTACCGTTTACTGGGTCTTTCAGGATGTCGCGTTGATGTTGTCGCGTCATAACCGCTTGGTCCTGTATCGCAAACACGGACGATTCTATTGATGGGGAGACCTGTTGCTTTTTAATCCACTTGAATGACTGAACTATATCTATATTCTCTTGCCCTAAAACTTTTATGCAAACTGTCCGTGAAGTGGTTTATTGTGCCATCTGTTAATCTGTTTTCTAATTATTGCATCCTTAATTTCCCTATCTGTATGTCTATGGTCTAATGCTAGCTCTAGTTCAGATTCTATTTCTTCTGCTTCTTTAATTATTGAGTATTTATCTTTATTTATATCATGTTGGACTATTGTTTTTATAAGGTGATCCTGCTCTACTCTAAGATATTGCTTGTACTTTATTATTTGTGCTTTATACATATTTTCTACATTTATTAATCCCCGACCTCCATACGTTACCGGTAAGTTTAGTCTTTCTACGTCTGCTTTTTGCTGATGTGCTTTATTCATTGCAAGTAATTTTCAAGTTTTTGTATCTATTTTCTTAAGGTCACTATTTTTATAGTTAATGATAGCAAGTGAATATAAAAGAATTGGAATAGCGTAAGTATTGATGCCTTTTATAATATTGCGGGAATTTAAGTGTGAGTTCAGTAGCTTTTTGACTCTTTTAAAATATTCTTTGATTACCTGTTCTCTGATGGCACTATGATCTATCTTCCCTGATTCGCTTACACCTAAATACTTGTATGTGTTTCCTAGTCCTAATTCACTGAACTCCTCACCACTAAGCAGAACGTGTCCTTCCCCAGTAGAACCACTCCGATGTCCTAAATATAAGTGTAGCACGTTGCATTTATGTAGTCCAAATTTCATACCTACGTCTATTGTAAATATTTCTAAGCTATCTAACAGAGTCTTTAAATTACTTCTATTGTTTGCATATATCTTTAGATCATCCATATATAGCAGGTGGTTAATGTAATAACTGTCTCAAGTTTGTATCCTTTAAATTTGTACTTGTTTAAAATATGGGAAACTGGGTTAATGGCAAGGCAAAACAGCAGAGGTGACAAAGAGTCACCCTGGAATATACCGCGTCTGATGGAAATCGGCTCAGTAGTGATTGATTCGTGGGTACCTTTGGCTGTCATCATGACTTTCCAAGATGGCATAGTCATCTCTAAGAATCGCTTGATCATGGATAGGCACTTATAGATATCAAGAACTTGCCATTCGTGGGACACACTCTCGAAGGCTTTTTGATAGTCTATCCACGCCATGCTCAAGTTTTTCTGCGATGCGTGTGCGTCCTCCAATATGGCCTTATTGACCATGAGATGGTCCTTACAGCCTCGGGTACCACGTCTGCATCCACGTTGTTCTGCAGCCATTATGTTATTGTTACTGCAGTGATTGTATAAAACGTCAGTTAGCACGGAAGTTAATACTTATTATTTATATTTATTTATACTTATATTTTATTTTATATATTTATATATCCTTACTATATTATTATAAATCGGAAAGTGAGTTTGTTTGTTTGTTCCGCTATCACGCCATAACTACTAAACCGATTACTTTGAATTTTTGCAGATGTATAGTTAGAAGTCCGGATTAAATAATAGGGTACTTAATATCCCGGAAAAATTATATATTCACGAGGGAAAACAAAAGTATTGGTATAGATTGCGCTGTGTGTATTGGTATATGTCACATTGGCTTTTTATCCTTTTGTGACGCGAGCGAAGCCGCAGGTAAAAGCTAGTAATATTATAAATCTGAAAGTGAGTTTGTTTGTTTGTTCAGCTTTCACGCCGTAACTACTAAACCGATGAAATTTCGCAGACGTAAAGTTAGAAGTCCAGATTAAATCATAGGGTACTTTTTATCACGGAAAAATGTGATATTCCCGAGGGAAAACAAAAATATTAGTAGGTATAGATGGCGCTGCATAAACCCAGGTTCCCTCTCGATGTTTTCCTTCACCATTTGTCAGTGGTGTCTAGATAATCTTAGAAAGTACATACCTATAAGTCGGAAAACGTGACATTGGTACTTGTCGTTGGTAGGTTTCGAACCCGCACCCTCATGCATGAGAAACGGGCGCCTTAAAGCTCCGAGCCACCACGACATTATTAGACGAGTACTAGCATACACTACAGTCATTAACGTTTTGTTTTATTTATGGAATTGGAGGCAAACGAGCAGACGGATCACCCGATGTCAAGCGATCATGGACACCCACGACACCAGAAGAGTCACAGGTGCGTTGCCGGCCGTTTAAAATTCAAATTCCATCCAATAACCTTCACAGCTCATAAACTCAGAGAACTGCTTATCTCGACTGAAAAGAAAGCAACTAACGTCTATATAAACCCATTAATAGGGAAAAAAAGAAATACAGTTAACATGTCACAGGATGTGCAACTCTTCAAAGTCCCAAAAGCACGTCATCTCATCTGATTAAACTGTTAAACATCAAGCGGTCACCGGTGACCGCAACCTATTGTTCTATAATTGTGTCTATAATGACGGTAATCGACGAGTTAAAGCCGTATTGGCTGATTGTAGACATGAGGAAAAAAAACTATCACTATCACTATGTAATATGATGGAAAAATAAATAAAATTTATTATTATTATTATTCCTCGAGGTTAATTTGGCCTTATCCCCTAGATGACCGCGAAACTGGACGTCACTCTAAATGCTGACACCGAGTATTCCAATACCGGCTGAGGCAGTTAGGGGGGTGCTTTAAAAATGAGGAGAGACGAACAACGGCAGTTTCTTAGCGATAAATACGCAGACTTGTGTCTTAGTGGGGCTAAACTAGACTAAATTAAGTCCACTTCAATCAGAGATTCTCCCTAAAGAGGTCTCTATTTCAGACCCGAGTCTGTTTCGGCTCTCTATGACGTTTTCCCGAGAAATGTTAGCGCGGCCGGTGTAGTAGGCATCGCCTGTGCTGTCATCCGCATAACAATGAATGCCGCTGATTTGCAGCATGTCATCGATATGAAGGAGGATCAATGTAGGCGACAGCACGCAGCCTTGAGGGACGCCTGCGTTTACAGACAGCAAGTCAGAGCATTCACCGTCAACAACAGCCTTAATGCTTCTGTCTGCAAGGAAGCAGCGCATAATTTCTCGGGAAGCCCGTAGGAAGGAAGCTTCGAAAGAAGCGCTCTATGCGGAACCCGATCGAAGACCTTCGCCACGTCCAAACTTACTGCCAACGCGTCCCCCTTAGACTCGATCGCCTGTGCCCATCGGTGCGTTAGGTAAACTAGAACTACTGACCTGACTGATTCTATTTTTTTATTGAAATGTTAAATTTTCCCAAATTGTTTCCTCAAAGTAGAAAATGGTTTTTTATTGTTTGAGAACCTAGAGTTCCAAAATATACTTCAAAGTCTGTAATCTAAATTCATCTTTGTTTTATACAAATACTGGTTACTAATTTGGCGTACCCGTATATAATATAAGAAGTCACCTTCAGAAACCATGAAAATAATTAAATAATTTAGTTCCATATTTCGTATAGGCACGTATTTTATTCAAAACTTTGTGTCGTCGCATTGTCGTCACGTAGCGTTGATGTTTACCTACATTCTTGGGTACACCAGTTTGTCCTCTGCAGATAGAACGAGGTGCGAGGCGAGGGCTTACAGTCAGTGGCGCGTGCGATGGCGACAGTATCAAGCAGAGATAGCTTGCACGGCTCAGTGGCAGAGATACGATAGCAGCACAGCGCGCCGCACCGGTATATGAGCGCCGGCTCGCCGTGTCGCGCCACTGTTTGCTGCAGCGCGCCGAGCTAGTCCCGCAAACCTGCAAGCAAACCTGACTCGGGTCTGTTCTCCTGACCTCCTTTACTCAATTGCCAACTACTTGCATTAATGGACGGTAAATACTTTTCTCTATCTTTGTCTGACATTACCTTGTATTAAATTAGGTCATATCTAAATCCCATCCCTAAATGCTTACATTGTCTAGTAATATTTTTGTTATGCTAATTGAACTTTAAGGACTGATTGGTCCGCGCTTACATAATACTAATGATTTGTCCCACGGTGCACCGTCCCGTCACCGCTTGTTGTCGTGCTGTGACGGATGTGACATGACGCTGCGTGCTGTGTCGTTCCAGTGTCGGGCGTGCTGGACGTGATGGGCGGCTCGAGCGAGCTGGAGCTGCTGGCGCGGCACGCGGTCGACTCCGACGACCCGTGCGCCACACACGACCACGCCATGGTGGTAAGTATAGACATTACTTGTTTGAAGTTTCTGTCAAAAATCGATCTTAATCCACAGATTTTGTATTGATATAGGTTATCGTAATGCGATATATTTTGTATGCAACATTGTTTGCACAATTATTTGAGCAGAAATAAACAACACACACACATCCATGACGTACCTATCATGTTATACTTAAATAACACCTATACAGTGTGCACACCAACACAAAAAGTAACACATTTCCTTGTTACAATGGACCGGATCAAAGGCATCAAACGGTTTGTAGTACAAAGTTGATTTACTATTATTCTGTGGTGTCTGCGCTATAGCGTAGATGCGTAGAAGAAGCAGGCTACTTACATGTTGCTAGAGCGAGAACACATTATGAAATGTTTAGCCAATAGCACAGCGTTTGACAAACATATCAGCGTTTGATGAGGTCCGTTACTGGCAACAGCTTCGAATGATAGCTCACTCTGTCGTACAGTTCCACTCGTGCGTGTGTGCGGAGATCCTGTTCAATGGGTGGAAAACTACCAACGAGCTGCAGTTGTTTGGATCGGCGGTGGCCATATTTGTGGCGTCCGTGCTGTATGAGGGATTCAAGTACTGGCGCGACACACTGCCGAGCCCCGCGGCCGCGCCGCTCTCCGACTCGCGACAGAACATCGCCAAGGGTGATTCTGCGATGAGCTCCTTCAGGTAGGCCGTGTTAACGTGTTAACGTGTGTTGTCTGTCTCCGAGTGTCGTGGTAGTGTACTGACGCGCGGATGTTCGCAGGGCGGCGGCGACGTCGGGGGCGCATGCGCTGCAGACGGCGCTGCACGCGGTGCAGTCGACGCTGAGCTACCTGCTGATGTTGGTGTTCATGACGTACAACGTGTGGCTGTGTCTGGCTGTCGTGCTCGGCCTCACGCTCGGCTACTTCCTCTTCGGATGGCGGCGGAACTCTCTCAACGACCCCAACGAGCACTGCCAGTGACCTCACGCGAATTGCTCTCTTCTCTACGTAGGATTATATTATCATGTTTATGTTGGTTTATATCTGCATATATACGAATACTCAATTACATTATTAAATACCTGCGAGTGTCTCTTTTACCAATTTAATCATATTAATTTTATCGTAGGGCCGTACGAACGATTTGAAGATGTCTTGCTGGGCCTGGGTCTTGAACCTAGGTTACCTATGGTTTATAGCTTTGTGGTGCCGGGTTTTCAAGCATGAGATTGAGCACGGGTTCGAAACGTAAAACATAACGAAGGGCTCGCAAACCAGAAAAGAAAGAAACTCAAGTGCCAAACAGTCGTTTACAATTTTTGTTTTGTAAAAACAAATATCAAAATGAAAGAGCGCCACAAGATGCGCAGTGCCCACTGCAACCTGCATGCTCCCAGACCTTTATTTGAGTTATTGCCAACGTTGCGGGCAAAACTCTTATCCAGCCAAAAGCACATACTATACTTAGGTATTTACTGCCAACTTGCTACTTTACCATTATATTTTAACATAGGTACATTTAAATTTTAATTGATCCACAATTGAATTAAAGTCGCTGACAGCCAAGAGAGTTAGCAAGATGATGTGGCAATGGGCAGGGTGCTGGGCGCATAGCTTGGAGATTTGATGGCCGCTGGGGCAGGAAGGTTTTCCAACGGATGCCACGTTCTTTATTGGGTCTTTTTCTACAATTATGTCATGTTTATAACTCTAGTCTATAACTCTCTTGAAAACAATGTCGCATGTCGATTTGAGCACGCATAGAACAGAAAGCATATGATGTCGTGTACAGAGTTGTAAATATTGTGCTCGTACCTGTAAGGACATGTGTTGTGGACGAAGATTGAATGAAACAAACAACGTGATGTTATTGTTGCAGGGACATGATAACATAGGTACCTACATGCTAAACGGAAACAATTCAATATTTGGTCGCACTCAGATTACTGTAAATTCTTAGTAAGTATTATCTTTGTATTATCATGAATGTGCTTATCGTGGCGAGGCGCTATCTACGGTCAAATTACCAATTCACAATGTAACGGGCGAACGCAATGCCATCAAACTAGCATGTTCTGAACAACGTGTAATTACGTGTTGCTGCACGAGGTGCACGTCGTGTTAAAGCTAAATAATTAATCACGCTGACTGCTGCGGATACAAGAACTGGGCTGCGTTTGTGAGACAATTCAAAAAACCGACTTCAAAAAGCATAATATAAGTATAAACCAACAAATATTAGAATAGAATACAATATTTAATTCTTAGCATAATGGTACATTGAGATTTTACATAATAACATTGATTCACATATACTACCATTGCTGGTGCGGTAATATTACGAATAAGTTAGGTTTAGTCAAGTCGAAACTAGGTACAATCAAGCCGAAACTAGATTTTTTATAGCATAAGCGACGAGCTGTCGGATCACCATGGTGTCCATGGGCGGCGCTGATTGCTTACCTGATTGAATGCAATCACCTAAAATACCAGAGGTGTTAAGTGCGTCACCGACGTTTTAGGCATTAGGAATTTAAGGATTATAACTAGTAAGATATGTGCAAGTCAGAACTAGGAACATCTAAGGTAGGTAGGTATTCAAAAATCGTTATTCAATTCAATAAATTGGTAATTATTTGATGTCCATAACAATAACAACAACAATCATAAAATAAAAATCACTATGGCAACGGATACCTAAGTTAATAGAAATGCTAAAAATAATAACAATACCCCGACGTTTTCCTAAACAAATGGACTACCAGAGTACCAGGATGCGGCAAAAAATACATGGATAATAAACCAATTCAAAGCGGAAAGGGACTTAATCGTCACCACAACAACTGAAGCAGCAAATGACCTCAAAGGCAAATTGTCCTGCCGAATCGGAGGATTAGTCAAATCCAAGGTCGAACAATGGCATTCAATTTAATGAACGGAATAAGGTTAGGTTAGGTTAGGTTAGTTTTTTTTTTTTTTTTTTTTATTATACAGCAGGAGGGGAAATCCTCATGGAGACTCACACCTCCCCACGAATAGGGAGGTGTGAGTACTGCCGGACTCTTACCGGCTAAAACCCCTCCTGCTGTGCCAAAGTGCTCCTCTGACGTGATCAGAGACCTTCATTATACATTTTATATTTACGGCATTTGAGCTGGGATCCATTTTGATATATATATAGATAGATAAATAAATAGTTTTAATACATAGTGTATAATTAATATATATAATACAAATAATATTAGACATATAACTTAATAATTGACGCTAATGTCGCAATATTCTTTAATATTTGTACCTAGCGCCACTTTCTGCCCTTCGCTTGATATGCTTTATTGAGGTTTGGCGCTTTCCGTCATCGCCGTGCCGTGTTCACGCAAACGCTCCACCATGTGTAACATGTCTTTTAGAGACGTTTGCGTGGCCTATTAGGACTTTCGACGAGATGGTCTAAGCAGCCAGAACCTGTGTTTGCCAAGCGAAGGACATCGTCATCATTCCCGGCTTTTGTTTTTGCTCTGATCACGTCACATGGGATATTGCAGGTACCCAGCGGTGATGGGTGGAGTTCTTGGCACCACGCGCGGGCCTCAGGAGGACCAGCGGCGGCAACCCTCGGACGGTTTATGCCTCGATGTTTGGACCACAACGGTGACGTTCTTCTGTTAAAAACAAATTGGGCCACTTTCTTATGAAGATGGATGCCATTTGTCATCTTCAGTTCCGAGCCGCTGTGATCTGAGTCATTTTTATTTCGCTTCGACACGCTGCTCGCCGCCAGCCCGCCCGCACCCGATACACCCATGTCACCTGCTGGTGTTGCTTTGTCACCGTCGAGCGCCCGCAAACGTGCCTTAATCATCCTGTAGGGGAATCTTTCCAAATGTGTGTCGGTGTCTGAACCATTTGTGACTGCCTGTGGGACGCCAAATTCCACCTTAGCAATAAATGACGGCCGCTCGGGCCAAGGCGTCCCACTTTTTGCGGACAGGGCAGTCCTGGGCGAAAATAGAGTGGCTTGTGTTACCTTGTCCATCTCTCTTGCAGTTAATGCAGGACGGTCCCACACCTTCGGCAGACCTAGGGCAATTCGCCTGGAGGTGGGGCCCCCCGCAATAGTTACACAGGTCCACTTCCTCTGTGCAATTTTTCCGCCCATGTCCGTAGGCCAGACACCGACTGCACTGGACCAGCGGAGACTGGTCGAACACTCTAACGTGCTGCAGGTCGACGTAGATTCAGCCAGCAGTGGTCAGCCTCTCCCACATCCGAGGTGAGACCTGGAGGACGACGTGGTTCTCGAGAGAGTTCCGCGCCTTCCTCCGGTACTTGATGGTCACCGCTGACTCCTCGGCTGACAGACCTTCCAGCAGGCGCGCGTTCTGCGACTTAAGAGCGGCCTTTATGTCCTCGTCGCTGTTATAGGCCAGAAGGTCCCGGACAATTACGAGTGGATCTCGCTGACGCGCGTTTTCCACCCGCAACTGCCCGTCAGCCCTGAGCTGCGCCGTCATCCTTTCCAGCTCCTCTTTGCTGGCGCAGCTCAGCACCACCCTCTGGTCCTTGACTTTTCGGACCTTTTCCACCTGAAGGCCGCTCACCTTCGCGTTCAGCGCCCGCTGGACCCGACCCACAACATCGCCGCTGGTTTCCATTGCGTCGCCGGAGGACACAACGATAGAGTGCTTTGGTCTCGCGACCCGCCCTGCACTTTTCGGTTTTGACAGGACCTCCGCGTAGGAGGGCACTTCTGCCCTCATGTCGGAGACCTGTCTTCCGATCTCCCGGGTCGCGGACTTGAGATCTTGCATCTCTGCAAGAAGCTGACCGCTGTGGCCCTCGGCGACAGATGCCGTATCCACACCTCGCCGGTCAATTAAAGCCTCCCTCAGCTCTCCCATTTGCACGGTGGCCACCCTCAGCATTTCACTATGTTCCGCCATTTTTGTGAGGAGCTCGTCCTCTTTGTCCAACATTTTAGGGGCCTCCAGACCCGCAATCTCTCCAACCTCAGGGAGCCGCTGGTGTTCGGACTCTTTCACCAGTTGGTAGAGGCGCTCAATGGCTAGTGTCGCCTGGGTCTTGATCTCCGTTTTTAGGTTTCTTGCGAGACCCAGTTGACACTTGGCCTGTTTCAGCC